TACAGTCAAATGACCTTGACCCAACCAGTTAGATCGCTCATAATATTCGCTGAAAGTTTCATTCTGATTCACGGTTAAGGGGTTAGGGTAGAATTAATGTCAAGTTGAAACTTCCAACGAAGATTATTGTTGCAGAGTGAAAGTGAAATGAAGATTAGGTTTAGAGTGGAACTTACAACGATGGTTAAGAGTAAGATGAAAGCTGCAACGAAGATTATGAAAAGCATCCGTTTGTAATGCTGAGCCGCAAACTGATTGGTTGATTCAAGGTCACTTGTTTATAGTGTATATTCTTTACTGTAGCCATCATAATCAATATTACGTCAATAAACTGGTGAGATGCAGTAATGAAGAACATCGAGAACATGAGTGAAAGACAACAATAGAAAGGTAGTGGTGGTTATGAGCCATAAAATTATAGAGATGCTCTAAAAATTTATTATTTTTAAAACTCCCTTGGATTCTGAGTGAAAAATAGGGCTACAGCGACACATCTTTACTATGTACTACTTTCTGCCATCTAGTTCATCTGGGTCCACGACTGCCAATAATCTCTCACCTCCTCCTCAATACATAATTTCCTCCAAGCCACCCTAGGACGACCCATTCGTCCATTCCTCTTGGGATTCCAATCGAGGGATGGCCTGGTGTGCGATGTTATTTGACGGCCTTCTCAACGTATGCCTAATCCATTTCTATTTTCTTCTATATATTTGTTGAGTAATTGGCTCTTAATTAAAGCAATAACAACCGTTTTGCAGAATAAAATAGTACCATCATTTATTACGTTGGCTTCTCATCATCTGCTGTTAACTATATCTACAAAAACAATTTTAACATACTTCCACAGACTTCATTTTTAAATAAAAATCAATCAGTACATTACGTAATCAGATGAAAGAGAGAGTTAAAATATCCAGTTATCAGAGCAACGAAAGACTGATAACCGCTTCTTTCTGAACGCATAAATCAGGTTTCAGGCGCTTGATGGAAATCACTTCGGCAAACTTAGGGAGAATTGATCTCTTTTCCGTATTAACAAATTTGAATGACCTTATGACGTCCACTTTATGACCCGTGTCAAGGAGACGCCTGGCTATGGCACTGTTTAAAGCATTTGCTGCTTTCAGACACAGGCTTTTTGGTACATGTTCAGAAAATCCAAGGTATGCCCTTCATTATTGTTCGGGATAGTGTTTATTATATATATATGTATATATATACATATATATATATAATTGGATGCATGTATTGATTGACTGAAGTTTCCATCTTCTTTGCATCACAGAAGCCCTAGCCATTCAGTTAGAAGAACCAGAACTATGCATACAAAAGAAAATTATTCAACCACTTCTACTATCATGGTAAAAACTCTGTTGATTTGACTTAACTCTTGTTCGTATGCTTATTTTTCTAACTACTTAAACACCTTGCGTCATTCTCTATGTTATTTTGTTTCCATGTACACCCTGAGCACAACTCTTTCATGAAACTATTCATGTTGTTGCGTAACTCTTCTTTAACAATCGTTTGTAACAACTCATCACTTTTGTTACTACGTTCTTATATCAACATCCAATTCATTTGAACTTACTAATTGTATTTTCTTTGGCAAATTTAGTGTACATTCACATACAAAACAACAATATATATTTGTGATTGTACAGCTATGAAAATGAATTCGCCGAAAGGAGATTCTTCGCTGAACAACTGGTCTTCTGTCTATTAATCATCGATTTTTGTTTAAAAATGAACTCTGTGGAAGTATGTTAAAATTGTTTCTGTAGATATAATTAACAATGACTTTGGGCTGTAAGCAGATGATGAGAAGCCAACGTAATACATGATGGTAGCATTTTATTCTGCAAAACGGTTGTTATGGCTTTATTCAAATTCATTAAGGGAAATGATGTATGAAATCGGCTCTTGGTTGGTTTGTTCCTAGTGTTTCTTGCTGCTTATTCTTTCCCAACGACCATTCGATCTTCAATACGGAGCGAAGGCAGCTTTTGATAAAAGTCTGTAACTTGTTGGAAATCCTTTTCATGATACACTGGCCAAGTTTCTGACGCATATAGCAGAGGTGACTGACTTCACATTTGTGTTGAAAATCCGAGTCTTCTTTACGCTGCGGAGTGCAGAAGATTTTCAAGCTGGTTTCAAGTTGTTTAGGGTGGATCTTGCCTTTCCGATTCTGGCTGGTTTTGAAATTTTCATCCGTTTCCACTGCCTGTAGTTGAAACGATGCTTCCTGGCTGGATAAGTGAAGGAGGTAACCTCTGTTAAATCTCTCCCGTTGATGGTGATTGGTGCTGGTTGATGTTGTTGCCGCTTTTGGTTGGTTATCTTCATCACCTCCGTCTTCCCTGTGTTCACCCGCAGTCCTGTCTTCGCTTCCTTCCTCTTCAGCCAGTTTGTTGCTTTTCGCCTGCAAGTCTTCTGTCAACTTGTTTGTTTTCGCCTGTCAATCTTCCAGTTTGTGTGACATATGACATAAATCGTCCATGAAGTCTAAATATCCTAGAGTCTTCTTATTGGTCTAACGTATTCATGTCTTCTCTCTCTCCCTATGCACGGTCTGTCACATAATCCAGTTCACCAAAATCACGAGTGATGACAGGCAGGCTTGCCTTACACTCCTGTGCTCACTTCAGTGGTAGGCCTCACTGAATTTTCTGTTGTGGTTCACCTGATACGTGATATTGCCATATAGCTGTGGCTGGATAAGGTTGATAAAAATTTGGGGCAGCCAACTTTGTCGAAGGCTTCTTCAAAGTTGGCGAAGTTGGGGTAGAGGTTTGACTGCCATATAATGCTTTCGTTGGTGGTAATATATACAGCTGAAATCTGATCCACACATCATTTGCCTTTACTGAATTCAGCTACTAAAGGTGGAGTTCTACTGTGAATGTACTACGATAGCAGTTAATGAAATCATTTCTGGACCAAGAGAATCAAGTTTCGGACCAGACAGAAGAAAATAAACGTAGCAGAATATTACGAAATTTCCTAAGTTTCATGTTAGCTGACGATCTGACTTACATCAAAGTTAGAGAAGACCAGTGAATATCATGTATATGAGTGAGTACTAGACATGACACCACAGCCAGCAGTTAGTCACTGCCAGTTTCTGAATGGTTCACAGGCTCACCTTATCGTAATTTAAAGGTCGTGGTTTGTTCAGCTCCTGAAAGTGGCGCCATGGATGGGAACTTACTGGTGAAGGGTCTCAAATAGAGGCGAAGCAGCTGTCCAGTACACTCTATTGATGTGGTTTTCGATGGCCTTCTGTAACTGATGTGTATCTCTCAGTTCATAGCCAATCTTCAGTTTATTACTGTGTATGTGTAAGGCAGTCCCTTGAATGAAGTGAGATGGGCAATGTTTGAATAGTGGATAAACGGCACCCACTAAGCAGCAGGTTGACGTTGAAATCAGTACATATCTGCCAAGCACAGAATGTGTGCTAGGTGCGCTTGTCCTGCTGGTAAACACCTATTGTAGACAACTTATCACGTTGTCCAACTGGTAGATTTCGTCACGTGAGGGTACTGGGAACGCAAGGATAAAGAAAACTCCCGAACTAGGACGAAACAGTTATACTGCATAGTACTTTGGTACTAGTTTTCATTTTGTGACCATCAATCTTGAAATCGACCAAATTCTCACTACCCACCCACTTAGCGAACTGACCAACTAACCCTATTGAGGTTGGTGGTTACCTGGGTTCTGGTGGGAAGTCGTAAACATGTGATTGCAGCACGTCAGATGTGAGGACAAATAATCGCCGATGATATTGGCTGGCGAATTGGCAGAAGCTGGGATTCATGGGCTGGCTATAGGATAGGGTCCCATTGGCTTAATGATCTACAAGCTCGGCTTGTAACCGGAAGGTTCTGGGTTCGAACCCTGGCAGTGGGTGCAGTGGTGATGAAGAGTCCCGAACTAGCCTGACGCAACAGCTGTTCAGTACTCCCAGGTTTTCCAGTAGTTTTCCAACTGATGTCAGCTCTATGATGAAGTCCTGTAACCAATCAAATTCCCGCAAACTAACACTTGAATATTAACACCTAAAAACTTGATTAGGTATTTATAAGTGTGATAAGTGACACTACTTATTTTATTCTTCCTAATCTCTGTCTCCCCCTCTCTTCATATTTAAGTGTTGGTTGATACTGGACGTTTTCCCCAACAGAGACTTATTATTTTTTACTAGCCTACATCCGACCTATAACCAACAACGACAAGTCATGAACATCTACCGTTGATCTACTAAGAAAATAACCGAGTGACCAATAAAAACAACGAATTCTATCCATCTGTCTGTCTATCTTACAACAAAATGATTTATCCAATCATTTAACAAATTATAATGGCCTGTCTGTTTATCTACCTGTTATTGTGGGTGTGTTATAAATCTTCGGAATTGTGTAGAGTGAAACAGTGTGTGCATATCACATTTGATGTGTTTGCCTGTCTCTGTATGTCTGTGTACGAAGGTGCAGTTTTCCTGAAAAAACCTCATCACCATCATTCCCACATATTGATTTAATTTCCTGACGGGATATACAGCTACTGCTACTGCTCCTCTGTTTTTTCGGCCTTTCCCGTTTTCCGGGTCTCTTTCCCTACATCTTTTCTCCATCCTGTTTTTTCGTGTGAACACCACAATAAAGCTTTTCTAAAAAAATAATGGAAACGCGTATAAATTAATTGTGTACGTGAGTGCTTGCGTGTGTGTGTTCGTCAGCAACACAACACGTAGAGATAAATATCGATCCGAACATCCAGGAAGAACCAAAAAAAGTAAATAAATCGAACGAAAAGTAAAAGGTCACTAAAAAGCAAGCCGAAAACGAATAAGCCAACCAACCCAATTGATTTAGATAGTATATATATACCAAGTAATCCGATCAACACTTGTTCATTGCACACATCAATTTGGAATTACGTAATCTCACTTTAAACGCCTGTTCATCAATAAAGGACGCGAACGAATCATGGAAAATGGTGAAGATGAGGAAGAGGATGATTTGTCTGAAGGTTCTCTGAGTCAGTCACACCAACTACACCAAACGATACAACTGAGAAATAAGCCAACAACGCCAGGGGGAAATCAGCGACCGGGTAGTCGAGCGCCAACCATGACAATTGATGTTGTTCGTGTCGGGAGACCATTAAAAGTAAGTGAGAATTGATTAATGATAAAAGTGTTGTTAAATTATTACTATAATTATTATTCCATTTCACCCTGTTCGTCCCTAGCTGGCACCAAGACTTACCACGAGTTCTAATCTCTTCCTCATCCCATGCCTTCAATGATATCCTCAAATCCATGCCTAGAACATCGTTTTCCATTTGAGTCCCACCGGATAAGTGACTCTGTTAATCCCTTATGACTGAGGACGTCAGATATTTAGTGTCACACAGAGGCAACTTTTGATGAAGCTTAGAAAAGCATTGCTGATGAAGTCACACACCATCTTCTCTGTATCAACCTTGGAACTACGCCCAACTTGTTGTTTCTCATATGGGTTAAACCCAATGGCCTGGCTTGCTACGTTACCCCATGGTCTCCTCAGTGTGTGACCTATGCATCTCCATTTTCTTCTACACATTTTTTGAGTGACAGGTTCTTTATGGGTTCGCTCACAATGTCTTTTTTCTGACCTGCCATCTGATATTCAATATGTAGTCGTTGATAAAAGCCTAAAGTCTGTTGGAAATGCTTTTTATGACATGTTCTCCAAGTCTATGATCCAAAAAGAAGAACTGACTGTATGATTTAACATTGGTGTTGAACAGAATCTGGACTTTGTTGTTTATGCTGAGGCGAAGTACAGCGGACTTACAAATTGATTTCACAATGATGAAGTTCTGCCTTGACTTTCCGATTCTGACTAGTTTTGTCTTCTTCATCAGTGTCTCCACCTAGGTAAGTGAAGGAAATAACCTCTTTCAAATTTCACCCGTTGACATTGATTAGTGCTTACTGTTGCTGTTTCTGTTGATTGGTTATTTTCGTCACCTCTTTCATCTCGATGTTCACTTCAGTTCATATCTCCATTGCCAGTCTCCTCTTCCAGCTTGTTGGTTTTTGCCTGTAGGTGTTCGAATTTAAGTGATTTAGATATAAATCTTCAGCAAAGTCTAGATCTTACGGAGTCTTATTACTGTTCCAACGTATTCCTGTGTTCTCTTGTGCGATGCAAGGTCTTCCGCATAATCCAGTCCAGAAGTATCATCTACGGTAGTAGGCAGGGAACCTTGTTTTATTGTTGTCTTCACTTCAGGGACAGGCTTCACTGAGTTTTTCGTTGTAATTCACCTAAGATGGTAATCAGTGCCAATAAATTAACGAATCCTGTAACCTCATGTAACTACCTGTCTTTAACTATCCGAAACATCCAGTAGCGCAGCTGCGGACCTTGATTTGTCTAATTAATAGTGCGTCATAGGTTCAAACCCCACTCTAACTATTTACCAAGGCTTTGACGGCTGCCAGGGGGTAACATTAGTTGAAATATCACTAGCCCCTCCCCTCACAAACACACGCAACAGATATGCGTGAATCACTGTTGCCAACTGGGCGTGGAATTATTGCAACTGCTTGATTGCTGTTTTCCAGTAAAATTCTATTTCATTCTGACATCCGATAATTACGTAACAGATATAAGTACAAAACAAGAAACGCGAAAGATTTTATTTTAGGTGAGTATTAATCCGCTTTTTATATTTGACTTTGATTGATTAGTCGATCGACCCAGAGATCGATTGACGAATCCATATATCAGTAGACTGCTTAACTGATTGACCAACTGATAAACAGATAGACAGACAAACCAATTAGCAGACTGTCTGACCAACTACATACAGTGAAACATTGCTAAAAATGGCAAAATGTTACCACTTATATAACTGAACGCATTCCTATCATAATGATTTGACTTCTGTTGTGTTATCATTTGAATGATACGAAATTATTGATTCTATTTTTCATGTGTAGAAGAATCAAAACTGGCTTTGTGTAAGATTTTACTTTATTTCAAGGTGGATTACATAACGAATAGAAATAATAGTAAAAATAATCGAATGATAGTGAGATGTAAACTGTACTTTGGGAATGTTGGTTAGCGGCGTTTTCGAGTGGAACATAGGACTTGTCAACGCTATTTATGTCTTTTCGCTACAGTCTCTTTCAGACAGCTACACGATGGCTTATAAGCTTTCCTCTCCTTCATCTTTTCTCATAGGGGTTGCACTCGAGAGACTACATGGGGCGGGATGCCATTCAACGGTCTCCTGAGCATGTGCTCTATCCATTCACATTCCCTTCAGCTTACTTGTTGATTTCGTAATTTCTCCTTGGTTGTTTCATCACCTGCCAGATTTCCTTGTTGCTTATCCTTTCCGACTGGTCATCTGATTTTTGCTAGGGAGCGAAGGCAACTATTGGTAAAAGTCTGAAGTAGCCATGTCGAAAAACTACCTTCCATTACGCGTAAAGCGAATTTTGTGAAACGTTTTGAACCACAGCCTTGACAGGGTACCCATGTAACTTTTAAATAATTTGGACGATTGAGTTTATTAAACTAAGTATATTATTTTCTGAAACTTTTCCACAGAGATCTACATTCCGAATTCTCGGGCAGTACGAACCCAGGATCTTCTGATTACAAGGTAAGCTTGTGGGCCACTCAGTCATTGGGACTTGACTTATTGTCCGGCCCATGAATTCTAACTTCCCCCAGCTCGTGATTTCAGCCCGACTATCACCAGCCAGTGTCATCCACAGCGAGTATTTGTCCTGACTGATGGACATCAATGGTTACGATTTCTTACTAGAAAATCCCCCAGGCAACTTCGTTCTGCAACCAGTTACTAGCGAACTTCAGATTAATTTTCAAGTACTCCCTGGCTCTTAATGCTACTGGAAATTATATCCATCCCTGACCAAATATGAAACTTGTTGTTATTGGCAAAATTAATGTACATTGAAATAACAGAGAATGTTTGTGTTGCTCTGATGGATGATTTTAATTCAGTTGTGTTCTCTGAGCTGGTTGATTTAATTGCGGAGCTTACATTGTCCTACTTCTAGACAACATCCTTTCAGCGCAGATTTTAGTATGAAATGAACTTGTCTGAAGTCTCCATGAATAATATAATTGTATCTTCTGATACCAATTGTTGTGACCGGCTGCTAGTTTACGTCTCTATTCATCATTTTTATTTACTTGGAATTTGAACTTTCTTGTCGGTTGATATATTTTTTATTAGTTGGTAAATTTGGTCTATAGTAATATATGTCTGTTAATTGCTGATTCTTCTGAGTGCCAGGCTTCCAGAAATTCCCTGACTTCATTTTTAGTGTTTCGTATATTTAAAATTTCTACATTATCCCAATCAAACTGATGTCCATAATTATCTACATACATTAATATGAAAGAATATACATCATGTCTTTTTACAGCTAATTTGTGTTCTCGGATTCGAATTCGAAGGGGATGTCCACTTTGATGGATGTAATGTTTGTTAAAGTTCACACAATTTATTTTGTAAATGGTATTAATTTTATCTTTTTTTTCTGTTGGATCTTTCAGTTTGCATAATATCGAATTAAGTGATTGTGCTGGCTGGTTTATGTGCTATATCTGTTTCAAATGGTCTCAGTATTCTAGCTGTTATTTCAGGGATATTTTTATATACGATAGAATGAATTTTTTGTGGTCTTTGGTGATGGTTTCTTGTTGGTGTTATGACTAGAGTTTAAACACTTTTTGTTGAAATTGTGAGGATATCCATTCTCTTTGAAGACAGTTAGTAGGTATTTTTCTTACATTTTCTTCAACACCGGAGTGCTACAGTGTGTTCGAACTCTTTTAAACAATGTTTGCACACAGTTTCATTTGTGGGTAATTAGATTATTACTATTATAGTTGAATATGTGGGCTGTGTGCGTGGATTTTCTATACACTTCTGTTGCTAAATTTCCTGTATAAGTTCTCTTGATTAAGACACCTAGGAATGGAATTTTGCTGCCTAATTCTTCTCTTCATCTGGATTTGTTTGTTAATTTGTGGGTATATTCCAGATCATTTCTTCTAACTATTACACATGTATTACCAACGTAACGTACCCAGATTTTCGGTTCAGTTATAGGTAGGGCTATTAATTATAATCCATACGCAACAAATTCAGCTATTATTCCTGATATGGGCGATCCCATTGGTGTTCCTTTTATCTGTTCGTACATCTGATTATTGAATTGGAAATATGTCTTAAGATGTAATTCTGTGAGCTTCATCAAATTTGAGCAATGTGCTCTTGTGTTTTCATCACCATATAGTAGTTACTGCATAATTTATTTTGCTAGTTTTGGACCAATTGAAGCTTATAACGCTGTGACATCAAAGGACACCATTATTTCATTGTCATCTGAATGAATGTTTTTGATTTCCTCTAAAAATTAGATCGGAGAATGGATAGAACGATTCTATTAGGTATTTTAATTTTCTGAAAAATTCTTTAGATAGATTATATGTTGGTGTTCCTGGCAGCGAAACGACTGGTCATAAGGGGATGTTTGGTTTGTGTAGTTTCGGTCTACCGTAAAATGGAGGTAAAACCGGTTCGTTAGATTTCATTCGCCATCGAACAACGGCGAAATGATTGAATATCAGATAAAATTATGAAAAAAACCCATACAGAATCTATGAATTTATAGACTCCACAAAGCAGACCAGAGTAGCAATAGTGACTGGTCTTGTTCCTTTTTTTCACAGTTTTCCGGCTGTTTTAAACCAGTTGCAATGGCTTCTGCCTAAAACTGTATACTACTGATTGACTGAGATGAGTAGTTGCATACCACTCACACCAACCAGTAGTGTTTGCAGTTCAAATTGATCTGAACACCAGACGGCCATTCTGTTCGTTTGGGACCGAGCTCATCCACCAGCGGTGTGCTCTGTCTGACTCAGGTCCCGGAGCTAGCCAAATCAGTTCAAATCAGTCGTTTTCCAAAGGAAACTGGGAAGGAATCTCACCTCTAACTGTGTAAATGTCGAATCAGTTTGCAAATTGTGAATTTGACTGAATGGCCTTTGCTGTCTGGTGGTGTATTCAGCATCAAGTGGCTTGTGTCAGTTTACTCGTCACCAAATAGATGACAGGAAAGGATTCT